AACAAAGTTCATAACCAAGAACTGATATTGGGTTCAAACCCAGAACTCCACAAAAAGAGACCCATCACAAGTTTCAACTATGTGCCATAAGATAGGAAAGCCCAAGAAAACGTTTACCAGAAATATTTCACGAATTAGGCATTGCGTTTTTATACACCCACATTTTCATGTGGACTTATATTGTCGTCGCCCCTGTCCGTCCGGACGTCTGTTTGTCCACAATGGAGCAGCGTACTGAATTTAACAATTTTTGTTCATTAGTTTTAGAGTTATGGGTCTTGTTTCAATTTGTAGAACCTTGTGAACACTCTAACAGCAAAAGTTACCATCCTATCTGCTTAAAATTGATTTGCCATTTGCAGATAAATGAAAGAAAGACTCCTATTGAAATTCAACATTTTCACTTTACAGAATCTTGTGAACGCTCTAACTAATAACAAAAGTGAACATCCGATCTGTATGAAATTTGAATTATTCAGATTAGTGAAACGAAGAAGCCGTTTGAATTTCAGCAATGATATTATTATTATTATTATACCATAAAGATATTTCCTTGTAGACTGCTCGGATGACTTAGCTCCTATTAATGTACATGCATGTTTCGTTGCCTGGCAGTCGGAGCAGAACAATAGGGTGTTAAATCCCATTTCCTTTCATTTCCATTGCCTGGCAACCAGTCTTTAAATATGATCTCATTACCTTCAAAAGCATAAATATTAATATAAAACCTTTGATGGTGTAAAATTATGATTAACTTGTGTACATGTAATTTACTTTAGGCTTATTTTTCCTTGTCATTGGTATAAATTAAAATAAGTTTTGAAGGTTGCATAGGCGACCCAATTCTGCTTGAAGGTACATATTTGAAAGTTATAGGTCTAGTGCATATATGTGTTGGCATCAGACAGTTTGTATCCTGAAAATATGACTACTTGGTATTATTCAAGTTATTTATTGTCCCCCGCCTTTCGAAGAAAGCAGGGGACTATTAAAATGGGTTCGTCTGTCTGTCTGTCTGTCTGTCGGTCCGTCCGTCCGTCCGTCACACTTTTTGGGACACAATAACTCACCTTCTAATTGACCTGAAATGTTCAAACTTGGTGTAGGTGTTTATTAGGTCAATGCCTTGATAAGCAATTTGATTGGTTGATGCTTTGGGACACGATAACTTTAGTTCTAATTAAGTGAGAGAGCTGAAACTTGGTGTATAGTTTCATTACATCAATACCTTGACTAAGTTCGATGAAGAGCATTTTCTGCTCAGGGTAAGCGGAGCGATAAGCAATTTGATTGGCCGAGACATTGGAACACAATAACTCTCCTTCTAATTAAGCTTGAATGTTCAAACTTGGTGTAGGGGTTTATAAGGTCAATGCCTTGATGGAGTGCGAAGAACAGCATTTTCTGCTTAGGGTGTTTATTAGGTCAATGCCTTGATAAGCAATTTGATTGGTTGATGCTTTGGAACACGATAACTTTAGTTCTAATTAAGTGAGAATGATGAAACTTGGTGTATAGTTTCATTACATCAATACCTTGACTAAGTTCGATGATGAGAATTTTCTGCTTAGGCTAACGAGCAATAAGCATTTTGATTGGTCAAGACTTTGGAACATAACAACTCTTCTTCTAATTGAGGTAGAATGTTTAAACTTGATGACTGAGTTCAATGATTAACATATCGAGCTAAAGCGAAGCAGAGATAAGCAATTTCCTGCTTTGGGACAAGATAACTTTGATCCTATCTGATAGAGAGTGATGAAACTTAGTGTATAGTTGATAATCAGTTTGATTGCTTGATACTTTGGAAAAAAATAGATGTGCGATTAATTAATATGTGTCATCTATTTATTTGGGGATTTCGGCGGGGGACGTCAGCCTCACTGTTGGCTTGTTATCCTAAATACATATATACAAGAAGCAATATAAATGCTTTAATTGTACACTGCACATTTTTTTATACGCCCACATTTTCCTGTGGAGGATATTGTCGTCACCCATGTACGTCCGGATGGACTTCCATCCGTCTGCCTGTCCGTCCACAATTTGTTTGTGGACACTCTACAGGTCACAATTTTTATCTGATTTTGACGAAACTTGAAATATAGGTCTATCTCCCAAAGATCTTGGTTCCTTTCGATATTGGCATGTATCGGACCATAACTTCATGAATTATGGCCCCTGATTGTACGAAAAATCACGTTTTTAGCTTGTGGACCAGGGGCGTAAAAATTTTGGGAATCCACTAGCCCAGGGCTAGTAGTCTACTGTCAGGCACTAGCACGGCATTAATATCAACTAGTCCATAGTTCAACAAGGTACAAGATTTAATCTTCAATATTTGGAGATATGTTTTGTTGCCTGCCAACCTATCGTTTTTATGCGCCCACATTTCAATGTGGTCGTATATTGTCTTCGCTCCTGTCCGTCCGTCCGTCCGTCTGGCGTCCACAAGCAAATAGTCCATAGTTCGACAAGGTACAAGATTTAATCTTCAATATTTAGAGATAGGTTTTGTTGCCTGCCAACCTATCGTTTTTTGTTGTCGCTCCTGTCCGGCCGTCCGGCAGCCACAATTGCTTGTTGACGCTCTAGAGGCTCAAGTTAATATCCGATTGACTTTATAAATTTATACACAGTGTTTAAGGTCATGAGACGAAGAAGCTTATGGATTTTCAGCGATTTCCGATAATTACTACCAGAGTTATGGCTCTTGATCACTTCAAAAAATCTTGTAGATGCTCTAGAGGCTAAAGTTAGTATTCGATTGACTTTAAATTTATACACAGTGTTTAAGGTCATGAGACGAAAAAGCCTATTGACTTTCAGCGATTTCCAATAATTACTACCAGAGTTATGGCCCTTGGTCACTTCAAAAAATGTAATATCCGATTGACTTTAATTTTATACACAGTGTTTAAGATCATGAGACGAAGAATCCTATTGATTTTCAGCGATTTCCAATAATTACTACCAGCTTTAGAGGCTAAAGTTATCATCTGATTGACTTCAGATTGATACACAAAGTTTAAGATCTTGAGACGAACATTGATTTTCAATGAATTTTTATTACTTGAACAGCTAAATCCATGATGATAAAAGTTTTTTATACTAAACATTAGCATGGGGCAGAACTTTATAAAAACCAAACAAATTCTAATGGTTTTCTGATAATTACTTAATGAGTTGTTACTCTAGCTCAATCAGATTTTAATGTATTATACATGTGTCATATTCGAAAAAAGTAAAAATATGCACATTTCATTTGTAATATATCACGGTAAATTAACGTCCTTTAATTCCCGCTTGAAGATTTGTATACGTTACGTATTATTAGCACTTACTGCAAAGCACAAGATACCCTCGACTGATTGACAAATTGCTTTACCGTATTTATTTACCTGGTCACTCTATAGAGTCTCAAAATGAAACAAATCAGTTTCATATGCTGATATAATATTAAAATAGACAGGATAGTAAAATTGTTTATATTATCAATCAAGTGCCATGCTGTGTCAAAGTTGACAACACACGGGTCACTGGAACCATTCATCATGGAGTGTGTGTAACTAACACCTGTAGTAAATTCTTTGGAAATACCTGACATGTTAAATAATCAAAATTATCTTGTATTTAAAAATACAAAGGTATGCTTTCAAATATTTATGTCAGAACTAATCTAATATGAAGTATAAATGAGTTTTGTTTTTAAATCAACCTGATTTCAACTGGTTTATACTTGACCTGTCAAAGCGTGCAAGATGGAGAAATGAAATGTCAAGAATGAATAAATAGCAAGGGTACAAAAAATGTCCATACAGCTCTAAGTTTTACTACAGAAAATCTATTGTTATGATTGAGTTTTCCTTGGAATTTGAGAGATAAATGTGGGATATTCTACACTAGCCCATAAGTTATTTTTGTTAGCCCCGGGCGTTGGGTTAGTGGATTTTTACAACCCTGTTGTGGACAATCTGGAGGTCATGATTTTGATAAAACTTGAAATGCATGTTTATAACTCAAAGATCTTGGTTCCTTTCGATTGAGTTTGAATTTCATGAAAATCGGACCAAAACTGCCGGACAAAATGGCTGCTCCTCGTACGCAAACAGTGTAAACATATTGTATATCAAGGTTGTGGACCCTCTAGAGTTCACAATTTTGATCCGAATTTGATGAAACTTAAAATACATGTTTATAACCCAAAGATCCTAGTTCCTCATGATATTCACACATATCGGATTGTAACTTTCTGAATTATGGCCCTTGATTGTACAGAAAATCGCATTTTTATGTGGACCCTCTAAAGGTCACAATTTTTATCCAATTTTAAAAAACGTTTATATTTATCACCGTTACACCCTAATGACAGTTGAGTTCCAATTTCGTGACAAAATGGTGGCTCCTTGTATTCAAATAGTGTAAAAGTATGTCATACCAAGTGTGTACCCTCTAGAAGTCACAATTGTTATCCGATTTTGATGAAACTCAAATATGTTTATGCCTCAAAGATCTTGATTCCTTTTGCTATTTGCGCATATCAGACTGTAAATTCCTGAATTACGGCCCCGGATTGTACGAAAAATCATGTTTTTTAGTTTGTGGATTCTCTAGAGGACAAAAAACTGTTTAAATATATCACTATTCCACCTTAATGAAGGGGGAAATCGAAACGAACCGCCCGACAAAATGGCCACACTTTGTACGCAAAGTGTGTAAAAGTATGTAATAAGAAGCTTGTGGAAGTCACAATTTTTATCCGATTTGGATGAAACTTATTTTTATATTCCAAAGATCTCAGTCCTTTCGATATTTGCGCATTTCAGACCATAACTTTCAAGATTATGGCCCCTGATTGTACGCAAGAACGCTTTGGTTTAGCTTGTTCTCTATCCATCTCTTGCAAAATGTGGGCGTATCTTGCCTGGCAACCGCTGGTTGTTTGGTTTATTTAAAATATATCAGATGATACTTTGCCATTTTACTTCTTTAATTTTAAGCTCTGGGGGAAAACCATATTTAACCACTACACAGTTAATAGACTTCTTCAATGAGGTAATTACCATACACTTAGTAATAAAACCACAGTTATTTGATTTATAGTTTATTAAATAGTCATCTGTATGTGTTTTTACCTCACAAGACTTTGTATCATATCATTATCTTTGTATTTGTCACTCGCCTTTTGAAGATAGCAGGGGACTATTAAAATGGGTTTGTCTGCCTGTCCCACTTTTGGGGATACAATAACTCCCCTTCTATCAAGTTAGAATGTTCAAAAATGGTGTAGTTTAATGTTTATTAGGTGAATGCTTGACCGAGTTGAATGATGAGAATTTTCTGCTTGAGCAGAAATAAGCAATTTCATTGGTCACTACGTTAGGACAAAATAACTCTTTTTATACGCCCACATGGAAATGTGGTCATACATTGCCGTTGCCCCCGTCCGTCCATCGTCCACAATTTCTTGTGAACACTCTACAGACTACATTTATCAACTGATTGTTTTGAAATTGATATATGTTGTTTGCATTAGTGAGATGAAGAAGTCTATTAACTTCTGTTAATTTCTTCTGGAGTTATGGCCCTTGTTTCACTTTGTTGCACCTTGTGAACACTCTAATGACAAAAGTTATCAACCGATCTATATGGAATTTATATGCATCATTTAAATTAGTAAAACAAAGAAGCCTATTGAATTTCAGCAATTTCCGTTAATTACATCTAGAGTTATGGCCCTTGTTTCACTTTGTTGAATCTTGTGAACGCTCTAATGAAAAAAGTTATCAACCGATCTGTATAAAATTAATATGCATCATTTAAATTAGTGAAATGAAGAAGCCTATTGAATTTCAGCAATTTCCGTTAATTTCTTCTGGAGTTATGACCCTTGTTTCACTTTTTTACACCTTGTGAACGCTCTAATGACAAAAGTTATCAACCGATCTGTATGATATTTATATGCATCATTTAAATTAGTAAAACAAAGAAACCTATTGAATTTCAGCAATTTCCGTTAATTACATCTAGAGTTATGGCCCTTGTTTCACTTTGTTGAATCTTGTGAACGCTCTAATGACAACAGTTATCATCCGATCTGTTTGAAATTGATATGCATCATTTCAATTAGTGAAATGAATAAGCCTATTGAATTTCAGCAATTTCCGTTAATTTCTTCTGGAGTTATGGCCCTTGTTTCCCTTTGTTGCACCTTGTGAATGCTCTAACGACAAAAGTTATCAACCGATCTGTATGAAATTTATATGTATCATGAGTTTCAGTTATCACCTATATTAGTGAAATGAAGACGAACAAGCCTATTGAATGTGAGCAATTTCCGTCAATTACGTCTAGAGTTATGGCCCTTGATTTACTTTGTTGAACTTTGTGAACTTTTGAACAATAAAAGTTATCATCCGATCTGTATGAAATTTATATGCATTATTTGAATTAGTAAAACGAAAAAAGCTTGTCAATTTGAACAATTTCTGTAGATTGCTTCCAGAGTAATGGCCATTGTTTTAGTTTTTAGAACCTTGTGAACCTTCAAACAACGAAAATTATAATGTCATCTGTATGAAATTGTCTATTAAATTCCCCTAATTACCTACAAAAGAATAAATATGTGACAACCCTTGTCGTCTGCTCGGACGATTTAGCTGCTGTGGGCGTATGTTTTGTTGCCTGGCAACCTCTTTTTCTTATTGAGGTGGAATGTTTAAATTTGGTGTAGATGTTCATTAGGTAAGTGTCTGCTTAGGCTAGACATTTGTTCGTTTTGGAACGCAATAACTCTTCCAATTCAGTAATTTAGTTAGTATGTTCTAATGTGGTGTTGGCTGAATGGTTAGCGCGCGCGCTGTATCATAAAGTCTGTCATTGAGTCGACTGGCGTGGTTTCGAATCCCCGGTTGTACGTGACAAGGAGTAGGGGCGCCTGTCCAACCTCGTGGGTTTTCTCCGGGTCCTCCGGTTTCCTCCCACTGCTAAAGACCCCTATGCGCAAGCGAATTATTGAAATAAAATTAAACCATATGTTAGTCCTGAAATGACCTAGTTTGTGTCGAGCGGACGTTAAACCCCATTTCTCTCTCTCTCTCTCTCTCCAATGTGGTGTAGATGTTTGTTATGTTATTGTCTTGACCAAGTTCTATAATGCGAATTTTCTGCCTAGGCTATAACTATAAGCACAGATAAACATTGTCTTGACTGAGTTCATTGATTCATTGATGTGCATTTTCTGCTTAGACTGAGCAGCTGTCAATCTGGCCATCACACCTTTTGGTTACAAAATAACTCTTTGAGATAGAATGTAAATTTGGTAATGTGAATGACTTGACCAGATTCAATGTTGAGCTTTTTGTGCTTACACTATATATGCAGTGATAAGCAATTTGAGTGGCCAAGACTTTACAACACAATAACCTTATAAGGTTTGATAATGAGCATTTTCTGCATAGTGATAAACAATTTGATTGCTGGGTGCTTTATAAAAAGATGAATGTAGAAGTAATTAATGAGTGTCATCTATTTAATTAAGGATTGTTGTCGTGGACATGAGCGTCACTCTTGGCGTGTAAGCTTACACTAAATAATCATATGAAAGTGGTATGTACCTGAAGCCAGTGATTATTATATACACTTTACACCAATTTCACAACAATCTGATTGCAGGGCTAGAAATTCGTCATTTTTTGCGAGAATCTAAGAGGATTCTCATATATGGAATCTACACGAATCCTCCAAATCTTAATTAATAATTTAGCCCAGGTTAGGAGCAGAACAGTAGGACGTTAAACCCCATTTCATTTCATTTCATTAATTAATAATACTGTCTAAAAAACAAAATTGTGTTTATTGTGTTAATCTAAAACACCAAAATACAACAACGATAAAAATAAAACAATCAGATGGAGTTTTTGGTAAACACTTAAATTGTGTCAAAAATAATATTCAGAAAATGCTGTAGTTAAAATAAGCTGATACAGCAACATAGCATTTCTTCATAGCACAATTTGTAGTCTTTTGTCCATCACGTAACTAGTCACATAACTTGCAAAAGTTTTTATTCATTCGTCGATGATAGAAAACGGCACAATGATCACGTGACAACCAGAACTAAAGTTGCTGTAAAATAAAATTATGTACGACTATGATACAGCCTTTAATAATATTTTTAAAATTAAGTCTCTGTCAGCATGTGTAAAATTACAAAATCATAACGGTAAACGCTATTTAGAACTGGTTTATTGACCTAATTCCAACCAATATGTCAAATGTCATTGGAATTCGGCATTCGAGATTCTGTTGGGAAAATATCCACGGTTTCTCTCTCCGTGTATTTGGTGTTCGATCAGGGGATTGTATTCAATGAAGATTTAAATTTACCTAACAACTGGTCAGTGAATCCATCAATGTATGATCCAGTTATTATTGTTATACGCCCACATTTTCATGTGGATCTATATTGTCGTCACCCCTGTCCGTCCGGACATCCGTCCATCCACAATTGTTTGTGAACAGTATGCTTATAACCCACAGATCTCGGTTCCTTTAGATATTTGCGCATATCGGACCATAACTTCCTGAATTATGGCCCTTGATTGTACGGAAAATCGCATTTTTAGCTTGTGGTCCCTCTTGAGGTCACAATTTTTATCCGATTTATAAAAACATGTAAATATATCACCGTTACACCCTAAGCATGGTTGAGTTCCAATTTCGTAAAAATCGGATTGAAACTGACGGACAAAATTGCCGCCCCTCGTTCGCAAAAAATGTCAAAATATTGTGTATCAGGGTTGTGGACCCTTTGGGCGACCTTCAGTTATAGTTTTTTCACGACTAGTGGTCAGAACTAGAAACCGAACGCGGATGGTCAGAACCATCGTCTGTTCAAAGATGGCTGTCCCACCCCCTCAAGAGACATGGTGATGTCATTTTACTCTGCTTTAGACCTCGACCATAACCCTAATAAAAACCCTTAAGCTCAAGGAAGGACTATACATCTCTCCATGGAGAATAATGAATCAGTGTGTTATATAGTTTAATAAACAAATAATATTTTCATGAAGTTAAATTTGCGTGACTCAAATTAATTTTAGAGACGACAAAATTCCTTATAATTCCACTTGACTTTTTGCATAGCGCAAATATTGAAATTATGCATATTTTTAGACTGGTCAGTGAATCCATCAATGTATGATCCAGTTATTATTTTTATACGCCCACATTTTCATGTGGATCTATATTGTCGTCGCCCCTGTCCGTCCGGACATCCGTCCATCCACAATTGTTTGTGAACAGTATGCTTATAACCCACAGATCTCGGTTCCTTTAGATATTCGCGCATATCGGACCATAACTTCCTGAATTATGGCCCTTGATTGTACGGAAAATCGCATTTTTAGCTTGTGGTCCCTCTTGAGGTCACAATTTTTATCCGATTTATAAAAACATGTAAATATATCACCGTTACACCCTAAGCATGGTTGAGTTCCAATTTCGTAAAAATCGGATTGAAACTGACGGACAAAATTGCCGCCCCTCGTTCGCAAATAATGTCAAAATATTGTGTATCAGGGTTGTGGACCCTTTGGGCGACCTTCAGTTATAATTTTTTCACGACTAGTGGTCAGAACTAGAAACCGAACGCGGATGGTCAGAACCATCGTCTGTTCAAAGATGGCTTCCCCACCCCCTCAAGGGACATGGTGATGTCATTTTACTCTGCTTTAGACCTCGACCATAACCCTAATAAAAACCCTTAAGCTCAAGGAAGGTCTATACATCTCTCCATGGAGAATAATGAATCAGTGTGTTATATAGTTTAATAAACAAATAATATTTTCATGAAGTTAAATTTGCGTGACTCAAATTAATTTTAGAGACGACAAAATTCCTTATAATTCCACTTGACTTTTTGCATAGCGCAAGTATTGAAATTATGCGTATTTTTAGACTTACATAGATTCAGACGTAACACACGGGACACAAAATATCTGATCATAGAGGTAGCAACCATTTAAAATTTAAATCCAAGCTTTCATTCTTTT